CGTATAAGGAGGAAAAGAGGAGACAAGAAGCAGTTCAAAAGTCATTGTAAAACAATACAAAACGTGCAAATTATCTTGTTTGCCGCCTCACTAGCAACGCGCTGGCGCAGATTCAGCATGCTACCTAACACAATATTTCAGGTCTTTTCCAAACTGTTACATGAACAAAGTACAGAGGTATCTTCTTCTATCGAGAACAGTTTTCAATGAGATTTTTGCAGTGAATAGAAGAAGGTTTACCAATCACTATCATATGAGATTTATAATTGTAGGACTACTTCAAAGGTGAATTAATGGGGTGTAGCAACCCCCTTAAAAGGTGTGGCGGCCACAACTTTCTAAGCGGGGTGCCACACCCCATTAACTCACCTTTGAAGTGATTTTTGGAAGATTTTTTGTGTATGACTCAACAACTCAGACCCAGTACTACGCATAATAGTGACTTGAGCCTGATTTGTCTTTTTTGGCTTGCGTAATAGTCGTTGAAAACGCAACTAGTGAAATTGAAAAATGAGACGAGCAAGGTTTTGGCTGTCTTCTAATTTCATAGTTACGCAATTATTTGAAGTGGGGTTCCTCACGCGGGGAAAGAAGGAGTATTGTTTTGTATTGAGTACAAGAAGAGGTAGCTAACTCACCTTTATAACAAAGTTAATTATGTTTGAGAATTAGTAGTCCCTGCAAGCTTATTCACTGGTCGGAAACCTAGGAGTCCGCTGAAACTTGGTGCTTAGGGGTAATCCGACTTGCTGATTACGAGCATGTTATTTATTATGCGTGATAGGGTGTCTTAATTGGACATACGGTAGGTACACGGTGGCAGATCAGCATCTAAGAATTTGCTTCAATTTGGCAACTAGAATTTTCTGACTTTTGTTCACAAATATCCTCATTGACTGTTACTGTTGTATCCGTTTACTTGTACCAAAAAGAAATATTATTATTTTGTTCAATTGTGCAAACGCTGTTGTATCCACTCCCCTCTAGGAACGTCTAGCCGGATTCTTTCTCGATTGATGCATCCGCGCTCCTCTCGCTCATTCGGGGGCTTACCGTCTATCACTTAAACTTGATTACGATCCCCGTCCCCACTTTCTCATTTGTTCTTGTTGCCGCACCAAGCCAAAGAGGAGCACGCAACGTGGCGCAAGCCTGAAGCCAGGTGGCGCCTCACCAATCACGTAATTCACGTTTTGTTGAAAAGACATATGGCCTGATATCAAGGGTACAACAACTCATATCATGCTGAGAACCCATGCTGTTCCGCCTATTCCGGAATGAACCGACTGTTGCTTACAGGCACATAAATTGTCATTTTAGAGAAGCAGATTTTATCATACCTGATTTTGCGGAAGCGCACATCTTTTAGCCAAACAAGGAGAAATATAGGCGTAGACTTTAAAACCAGCTGAAATCATAATAGTGTTTTAGCGTTGACAGAATGGATAAGAAGTGAATTAGTACAAGCAAGATCAGAAACCTTCATAAGCATTCTTCATACTCTGCATGCCCTTCATATCGTAAAAGTTCGTGTGATTTCTTGTGCTCCTCCACACTCTACCAACGTAGAATGTAAATCCGTTGTTTATTAAGCAGCGAAAATCGTCTGTGGATAATCCCTGAAAGTAACTTTAACACGTTGACGACAGCGTGTTGACGCATTTTTAGCTGTCTGCCTTGTAAGACAATGTTCTCTACAACTAAGTTGAGTATTTTACAGTCGAGTGGATTCTCCGCTTAATATAGTGTGCTTGCACAGAAGGTGAAATGCGGTGAAAATTTCACCGTGAAATTTGCGCGTGAATAAATAACCACGCCGTTGGCAGAACATGTTGGCTTGGCCAAAATGTTCTGCCAACATGTCGTGGCATGTTGCAAACATGTTGTTGCCACGTTGCCAACATGTTAGCCACACGTGGCAGTCAGAGACGCCGATCAAGGGTAGCACGAGCTGTGGAGGGAACCATATTTGTTCACGCAAAAATTTCACCACATTTCACCTTCTGTGCAAGCACACTATATTAAGCAAGAAATCTACTCGACTGTAGCTAAAATCAAGCAAGCCGTCATCTGTAGTATCCCTGCAGTGTTTAGAAGCAGCCAAGAAATGCGGAAGTAATTTCTAGGAATAGAGCATAACAGGGCTTCTAAAACCACAGTCATTCCATGACCCACCAAGTGGGTCACGTTGTCGCAATGTGTTAACATGAAGTTAGAGCATGTCCGTATAATAGAAGATAATTAAGGTTATATTATCGAAGCAAGGTTACGCAAATTGATGGCTATTATCTCTGCTTGCCTGAAATCAAAAGGTCCAGACTATATTAAAGGCGCCTCCATCTAAACTGAGGATGGTGAATCTTGCTGTTGAATAGCGGAGCCTCTAACTAGGAATTTGTTCGAGTAGGCTGCAAAGATGAATTTCAAGACGATCGTTCTAGAAAGTGGGAACGGCCAAGGTGGCTCTGCCATCAGTGTGAGTGGTTTCGAACATAATGAGTTCAAAAATGGCTTCAAGTTGATTGATAGAGTTGCAAAAATTGACAATCATAATGAAGCACAAAATTATGGCTGGTCTAGATATGTTCAAGCCCAAATTTGGAATTGTTATCTTCAGACTACCAATGTTGATGGGCGGAGCCACCTTGGCCGTTCCCACTTTCTAGAACGATCGTCTTGAAATTCATCTTTTGCAGCCTACTCGAACAAATTCCTAGTTAGAGGCTCCGCTATTCAACAGCAAGATTCACCATCCTCAGTTTAGATGGAGGGGCGCCTTTAATATAGTCTGGACCTTTTGATTTCAGGCAAGCAGAGATAATAGCCATCAATTTGCGTAACCTTGCTTCGATAATATAACCTTAATTATCTTCTATTATACGGACATGCTCTAACTTCATGTTAACACATTGCGACAACGTGACCCACTTGGTGGGTCATGGAATGACTGTGGTTTTAGAAGCCCTGTTATGCTCTATTCCTAGAAATTACTTCCGCATTTCTTGGCTGCTTCTAAACACTGCAGGGATACTACAGATGACGGCTTGCTTGATTTTAGCTACAGTCGAGTAGATTTCTTGCTTAATATAGTGTGCTTGCACAGAAGGTGAAATGTGGTGAAATTTTTGCGTGAACAAATATGGTTCCCTCCACAGCTCGTGCTACCCTTGATCGGCGTCTCTGACTGCCACGTGTGGCTAACATGTTGGCAACGTGGCAACAACATGTTTGCAACATGCCACGACATGTTGGCAGAACATTTTGGCCAAGCCAACATGTTCTGCCAACGGCGTGGTTATTTATTCACGCGCAAATTTCACGGTGAAATTTCACCGCATTTCACCTTCTGTGCAAGCACACTATATTAAGCGGAGAATCCACTCGACTGTAAAATACTCAACTTAGTTGTAGAGAACATTGTCTTACAAGGCAGACAGCTAAAAATGCGTCAACACGCTGTCGTCAACGTGTTAAAGTTACTTTCAGGGATTATCCACAGACGATTTTCGCTGCTTAATAAACAACGGATTTACATTCTACGTTGGTAGAGTGTGGAGGAGCACAAGAAATCACACGAACTTTTACGATATGAAGGGCATGCAGAGTATGAAGAATGCTTATGAAGGTTTCTGAATCTTGCTTGTACTAATTCACTTCTTATCCATTCTGTCAACGCTAAAACACTATTATGATTTCAGCTGGTTTTAAAGTCTACGCCTATATTTCTCCTTGTTTGGCTAAAAGATGTGCGCTTCCGCAAAATCAGGTATGATAAAATCTGCTTCTCTAAAATGACAATTTATGTGCCTGTAAGCAACAGTCGGTTCATTCCGGAATAGGCGGAACAGCATGGGTTCTCAGCATGATATGAGTTGTTGTACCCTTGATATCAGGCCATATGTCTTTTCAACAAAACGTGAATTACGTGGATTGGTGAGGCGCCACCTGGCTTCAGGCTTGCGCCACGTTGCGTGCTCCTCTTTGGCTTGGTGCGGCAACAAGAACAAATGAGAAAGTGGGGACGGGGATCGTAATCAAGTTTAAGTGATAGACGGTAAGCCCCCGAATGAGCGAGAGGAGCGCGGATGCATCAATCGAGAAAGAATCCGGCTAGACGTTCCTAGAGGGGAGTGGATACAACAGCGTTTGCACAATTGAACAAAATAATAATATTTCTTTTTGGTACAAGTAAACGGATACAACAGTAACAGTCAATGAGGATATTTGTGAACAAAAGTCAGAAAATTCTAGTTGCCAAATTGAAGCAAATTCTTAGATGCTGATCTGCCACCGTGTACCTACCGTATGTCCAATTAAGACACCCTATCACGCATAATAAATAACATGCTCGTAATCAGCAAGTCGGATTACCCCTAAGCACCAAGTTTCAGCGGACTCCTAGGTTTCCGACCAGTGAATAAGCTTGCAGGGACTACTAATTCTCAAACATAAATTAACTTTGTTATAAAGGTGAGTTAGCTACCTCTTCTTGTACTCAATACAAAACAATACTCCTTCTTTCCCCGCGTGAGGAACCCCACTTCAAATAATTGCGTAACTATGAAATTAGAAGACAGCCAAAACCTTGCTCGTCTCATTTTTCAATTTCACTAGTTGCGTTTTCAACGACTATTACGCAAGCCAAAAAAGACAAATCAGGCTCAAGTCACTATTATGCGTAGTACTGGGTCTGAGTTGTTGAGTCATACACAAAAAATCTTCCAAAAATCACTTCAAAGGTGAGTTAATGGGGTGTGGCACCCCGCTTAGAAAGTTGTGGCCGCCACACCTTTTTTAAGGGGGTTGCTACACCCCATTAATTCACCTTTGAAGTAGTCCTACAATTATAAATCTCATATGATAGTGATTGGTAAACCTTCTTCTATTCACTGCAAAAATCTCATTGAAAACTGTTCTCGATAGAAGAAGATACCTCTGTACTTTGTTCATGTAACAGTTTGGAAAAGACCTGAAATATTGTGTTAGGTAGCATGCTGAATCTGCGCCAGCGCGTTGCTAGTGAGGCGGCAAACAAGATAATTTGCACGTTTTGTATTGTTTTACAATGACTTTTGAACTGCTTCTTGTCTCCTCTTTTCCTCCTTATACCGAACCATCCAGGAGGGCGTTTGACCTGGCGTGCATTTATGTCACTTCAGAATCGTGCCCGTACAGGGTGAGTTCAGTCTCAATTGCAATTTTTCTTTTCGTTCATTGCGTGTGAATGTCTATGAGCAGGCACCAGTATTGGACCAGTTGGACCAGTAGTTGGACCAGTATTTTTATTTGTGGATTTTGATAGTTGTTTCACTACCGCTTGTTTCAGGTGCAGGCACTGACAGTTTTGATCAAGCGAAGCACCTGGCTGTTTCGCTTTATCATAACTTGACTTTGCATTTTTTCACAGCTTTTCATACGTCTTTCGGAATCATAGAGTAAAAAACTGCTATGTATGTTTTTCGAGTGAGCACTCAATGGCAACCCCGATTATCACTTCGCATTACCTAGAAGAACAAATGAGGAAGAGGTGTTGTGGGGTGGGGGGAAGGGGGGGGGGGGATCGCACGTGGCCGTCTTGTGTCACACCCAGGGCCCGGCACGCGTTGGTTTGAAGCGTTTCCGGAAACGAAGTCCCCCATGACTTCGAGAAAATTTACGAAGTCCCTCTTGACGTAAAAATCAGCAGGGAAACTCTTAATTAGTCAAAATAACATTAAAAGAGCGAAAAAAGCGCATTTTGAGGTTCCTAATATAAAAAAAAAAGCAAAAAGAAAACATTTCGAGTCGATTAAAGGCTCTGTCATTGGGTAGTGTACCATTTTAACGCTCAGAATGTCGAGAACCTCCTAGGCCAACCAAATCTGTGGCCTCAACAATCTGGCAGTGCGTTTTTCGCCACATAGTTCAAAGGACCCGCGTGTGATTGGAGCGCAATATCTATCAAGGCGTATAGATTTGCACTACTTTTGGCTCAAAAGAAGAGGAGAGGCAATAGTTTGATTCGCTCTCTTCACTATATAATAGATTTTTGAGCGTTTTAATCGTCCAAATCAAAAAGGTCCAAAACTTATGTGAACTTTCCGAAATTTATGCTCCGAACCAACCCAGTTGGTTCGGTGGTTGGTCTAGAAACCAACAAATCCGGAACGGGTATTCAGACACATAAGTTTTGGGAACTTTTTACATAACATAGTTTGGAGTAATATTGTATACTCATAGCCCAAATTCGGAGCCATGTGATTGTTTGTGCGCTGTAAACAAGCCATTTGTTTGTTTGAGTCTTGCATTTGAAATTCGCGCGCTTGCGAAAGAACACGTTCAACTCGTGAAACCTGGCATGTTCGTCGTGTTTTTTGGCGCTTCCTCCAGGACCTCACAAAAACGATGTCCTCGTTGCTTCTAACTCCAAAAACGAAGTCAAGTTTGACCCCAAACCATCGGTGCCGGGCCCTGGTCACACCTCTTGCTCGACCCTGCACATAATCCTCGTCATGTTGAGGGAAGACATATGGGTTGATATCGGGGGTAGCTGCGAAACGAACGCCCGCCAATCCAGTTTTCGCCTAAACTGGGTTGGAACTTACTGTACACTCGAGTTATATGTGAGTTCAAAAGTTCGTGCCGTTTTTCAGACCTATCCTCAAATCATTCAGAATAAAGATAGACAAACACTCTAAGAAGTGTCTTAAAGATAATCTGTCCTTATGGTAACGTCGGCGACTATGGACAAGTAGGAGGAGTGATATACCAGCTTGTACCAGCAGAATGTTTTGAATGCCACGCCACTTACATTGCAGAAACAGGGAGCACTTGGCGTGAGAAAGAACACTTAGCCAAAAAAAAGGTGTATTAGTCTCAAGTCACCGTCAGGAAAGTGTAAGGTTCGGGAAAAAGGCGAGTTCCGTTTTTTTATCAATTTTCCAAACCGAACCTCAACCTTGAATGCCATAATTATTATTAACTGACTGATTTATTGAACTCGGTTCAGAGTTAAGCATAGAAAGGCCCCGGACAGACTTCACGCGACTTAATCGTCGCGATCTAATCGCCAAGATTTCCATTCATTTTCATTTCACATTCAAAAATTTCGGGCTGAAAAAGTATCACAACCGAATGCAAGTTGAGCGGCATGGAATGATGTTGTAATAGTGGTCTCGTCGCGATTCAGGCGCGACGATCAAATCGCGTGAAGTCTGCCCGGGGCCAAAGGGGAAGCACGCCGCCCTTTTATTTATACCCGCTCGTTGGATAACGACAGAAAAAACATGACTAATAGGTGCATTAATGTGGGATATGGTGCATAGTCTGCACAGAAGCATAGACATAATGCGCATGGTGATAAAGACTATGGGATTGAATGTTTGATTTTGGCTTACGAAACCGACACTTCAGTGCTGTAAGCTCTTGAAGCATTTTGGATCTCGCAGAGAAAACCTACTATGAACAATCGAAAGAAGTGTTCACCAATTACGGAGGGTGTACGGCGATTCGCACGGCCATGTTGCTTTCCACAGAGGACTACCGCGGCGCGCGCCACACACTGCGGGCTCCCTAAGAGTTGTTTCACACTGCCGCATTGACCGCAGCAGACTGCAGCTGGCTGCTGCAGACCGCACTGACCGCAACGGTCGCAGCATGTTCACGTAAAAAGAAAGAACGACCTCGATCACGACCGAGACACCTTGAATGGCGCCTAGGAAGATGAAAAGTTCCGATTTCTTCCTTTTCAGTAGATTTTGTTTCTACGCGAACATGCTTTGGCCGCAGCGGTCATCTGCAGTCAGCTGCAGCCCGCTATAGTATGCTGCGGTCAGTGCGGTCAGGCGGTCTGCTGCGGTCTGCTGCAGTCAGTGCGGCAGTATGAAACAACCCTAAGCAAAGCAATGGGAAGAAAGGATCGCGGCATGCGCGTTAAGACAAGCCAAAATCAAGGTGGCGCTTGAAACGCCCGTGCGAAAAGACCGTCTCCCGATTGCGGATGACTTGATCCGTTCTTAACGTTATGCGAGCTATATGTAGTGCTACCACGCGTAATATCAAACTGCCGTATCGTGTATCGTTTGTTCCCCAGCAAGATTCCCGTAGGTACCATGTCATCTCGCTGCCTTTCGCTCTTTTGAACGTAACCTCGGGCAGTTCCGTTGAAATCTCGGAAGAAACGTGTCAAAAAGAGCGAAAAGCAGCGTCGCGCCACGTATGCACGCTGGTACATGGGAATTTTTCTGGGGCACACAGGATAGCTCATCGGCACTACTAACACGTCAAAACGGGTTGCACAGTACCATCAGCGCACCATCGGAGAAGCGGGGAGACGGTCAAGAGGCGCGATTTCTCCGGCTGTCACCAACTCAAGACTTTAGTTTAGTACTACGCTAGTCTGCAAAAATATCAAATGAAGTGCATTAGCTTACCATCTGTCGGGGGCTTTTGCTGAAAAATGGACCAAAATGTTCACTGTTTTGTTTTTAACTGCATTTTTATGGGTTTTTGATCTTCAAAATTGCTGTTTTGAACTAATTTCAAGGTAGCAAGGTTGAGAAACTCATGAAACTATCTAATTTATCTCCTTCTAAAGTATGAATACTTTTAGAAAGTTGTAAAACACTTATTATTCGCTATTTAATGTCCGTCTGGCAATAAGAATCGCGCCTCTTGACATACGCTCCACCAAACTTCGTACTGGCATAGCGTTGTTTTTTTGTAGTGTTTAATCATAATCGTTTTTAAAAAATTTCCAGTTTGCAAAAATTTCATTGTGTTTGAAGCGTTGGTGTTTACGACTTCGCGAACGTGAAAAATTCTAGGAATGTTAATAGAAATACTGAAAAGCCAGATATCAATGCCAAAAAATTAGGTTTTATAGCATTCTGTTTACTGTTACCAGAGCTTTTTCAAAAGTCAAAAGAAAATTTTAAAAAATAGCTAAAGTTAGGGTACGTAAAAATGCATGGGTTGGTGATTGTGACAATTATTCGAAAAAACATTGGAGGAATCCAAACAAAAACACCACTTCTGAAATGAGAAAGAAGTTCTGCGTAGAACAATATTTAGAGTGTTTGTCTATCGTTAAGGATAGTTCTAAAAACGGCATGAAATCCTGATATCAGGTTGAATCGAAAATTCTGTTAAATTATTTTCAAAAATCGCACTTCTTTCTATCACTATGGCTTTTTACCCTCTACTAATTTCTGACTGCAAATATAAAGATAAGAAGCCTCTTTGGTTCAGTGGTTTTGAATAGGCCCGTTTGCAAGGTGAAAACAGTACAATCCAAATTCGTCGAGGTCATCATTTTCTGATTTCTTTTTCCTAGCAAGGCAATGTTTGTGCTGTCAAACTTATTTGAAAAGTGATGGTTTTCAAGAAATTGTCAAAAAATCAATTTTCCCGTTCTCTGCTGTTTTCTTGAAAAAAAACATATGTTTAAAAGAAAGCTCAATCAGCACCAGACTTCCTCATTCAAAAGGAGGAGTCAGAAAACTCATGACCCTGGCTGTTGATTTTCAATGCACAACGTTTCAACGGATTTGTTTATAATCACCCGAAGTTCAGAAGATATCCTTTTTCCATTTCTGTCTCTGCAATCAGAGCCTACATCGGTAGAGAGCAAATATTAGGTTGTTGCAAAAATAATGTCCGTTTTTCTAGGCCTATACTTCAAACAATCCCATCAAACTTTCTTTTTTGATATAGAATTTGCATATCATTGGAAAGCTCTCTTCATGTACTTTCTAACGGTGGTGGAATTAGGCTGCTATCCTCATCTGTGAGAACCTCACCAGCATTTTGCGCATCCGCACTCAAAATCGGAATCTAGCTTTCACTTCCTTGACCACAATTCAAAAGCAAATAAACGAATTCTTTTGAAAACATAGCAATTGTATTGAATGAAAATTGTTTACCTATTGCGTGCTTATGTGATTTTTTGGAGATATCTGGGTTAAGAAATTGACGCTTCCAAATAGATACTGGCTGCTGGCATTCTATGGGTCAGAAATTTTTCATACTTAAGGCAATCGCCGAAGCTTCGTCCATTTCTGCAAGCTTGAGATTAGCACACTAACTACAGTATTTGAAGAGAAACTTTATTTTTACACTTTGGCACTTACAAGCCGACAACAAGTAGGCTCAAAAAAGTGAACTTTTTTGAATTTTTATCTTTTCTTTTCGCAGAACTCCTTCGCTGGAATCTTTTCTATACACTCATAAACTCATGGCCTGCTGCTACAAATTAAGTTGATTGCCAGTCACACGAACAAAACTTGAAGAGAGTTGTAAGCTCTTAAAGACGAGGTTTTCAAAAGAGGCGCGTGGTTTTCTTCTCGTTTGCGATATCAGTATGAGCAGGTGCGCGCTGAATTACGAGAGGTTGCTGCTCTTGATGGTCTTGACTGCATTCAAAAATATGAAGACTGAACGAAGTTATAGCCCTCCAAAATGAAAATTTGCAAAATGGACATTATTTTTGCAACAGCCTAATAGTTAAAAATATATGATTCACCCTATTTTAGTAATTTAGTGCTATGTAAGACTATGTGATAGGACGAAGTTAGGAGTGCTCGAAAATTGTGCAACAGAACTCTCGATCCAGCCTAATTTTAGTTTGGAAGCTTATTTAGTGTAAAGAAGTTGAGATTTGCAGGTTGAGGCCGCCATAAATCGTTTGAGATCAGATGGTGTTAAATATAATATGGTGTTTCTGGAGATAAAGAATCCGCGCTTGATTTCAACTACATCGCCCAATCAATTTAACAACCGCTGGCCCAGTAATCAGATGGCCAACCGAAGAACCATCAATGCTATGGGCAAAAAATTGGATGTAAGTATACAATTTTTTTCTCAACGTGCACATCCCACAACCACATTCAAGGTTCTTTCCCATCTCTCGCCCACTGAGCTTATGGTAGGATGGCTAGCCATTGAAACATTTTTTTTTTGCAGAAACTATTGGCCAAATTTCTTTTCAGCAAATCATGTATTCAAATAATATTTTGAAAATCTAGTTATGAGTTAGCACAACTGTAATGCAGAAATATTCTAGCTTTTTTTGCTATCTTCAGAAAATGGGTGTCAATTGGGGGATTTACACAAACGAAAATGACTGGGAGAGTATCGTTGGCTTGAAATTTGACCTGTGGAAACATAAGAAACTTTGGTGGGCATTTTACGGAAATAACGATGGGACACGAGTGAGTCGACTTTGATTCATTTTTGGTCATCACCGGTAGAATTTTTTCAGAAGAAACACTTCTTCACCCCATTCGCGGGATGGACAAACTTTTACATTCACCAATATGGGGGAAATCTTAAGGGACCATGCGGATTTGCGCTTCATCTTAATTACAAAGTTGGGGGAAGTCCTTGAACGATTTTTGATGTCCTTGTATGCTCGGCTTTTCCATAAAATTTTGTATCTAATTGTATGTGTTTGCTTCTTATACCCTTGAGTACAAGCCTTCAAAAAACTGGACTATTAGCTTTTTTCTATAGGAGATATGCCTTCTGGAATGGAGCGAGCGTTGGCGGAGAAGATGCACGAGGAGAGGATGGCTGACCAGCAAACTGCGCGAGCTCCCCAAATTCTACAGACCAGGGTCTTCTCCACCTTGCGTCGTTTCCAGGATATGAGCAATACCCAGGACTGTTGTATGAGGGGTAAATTGGCTACTGCGGACAGTAACGAAATTCTGAAAATCGTTCGCCAACGCTTTCGTCGCAATTTTCGGCAAAGCTTGATTGAGCTGGCTTCAGAGGTGTCCATCTCTGACAGGACAGTCTCCGACATTGTAAAAGAGGGCCTTGCGATAAAGCTTTTCATGATGCTATTAGGTTGATGCATAATTCCTGCACCAAAATAGGTACAGACCGCAATAACTTGGAATAATCCTATATCCCAAATAGGATTCGATATATCGTTGGATAGAGCAAACCTAGCTCTACAAGGTAGTCCCTAAAGTTTTGCAAAAGCTTTGATACAAGCGAAGGTTGAAGCCAAAAACAAAGAAGATCCAAGCGCCCCAAAAACCCAAAAAAAATCGGAAGCCAGTTCAGAAAAATCCTTCAAAATTCCTAACAAGCTCGTGCATTGTCATTTCGTATAAGACATCTTTCTAGGCAGTTGCTGTATTTTCCTTCAGCTAGAAATTGAGAAAAATTGCCCCCTCTCTCTAGCTTTGAAGTGGTACATAGCTTGCCAATGCATTTCTCTTCTTTGCTCCAGAAAAGAGAGTGCAAGTTTAAAGAGACAGTTTGAGTCGGAAAATGAGTGCAAAAGCGTTGAGAATAAACTGTGAATTAGAACTTACCTGCAGCTGGTGATCCTTCATGGAACCTTTCTTGATTTTGAGGTGCTTCTACTCGCATCACGTCTCCTCGTTTATCCAAACTAAATTCTTCTCTGTCTGCACTGTCGCGTAAGTGTGAGATGGTTCATAGCTTCGCATATTCGTGTTCCACTTTGGCATGAAACATTTCTAAACATGATTGGTCATAAGCTGCAAATACTTATAAGCATCGATCTCACTTCTACATTTTCTTGCTCCGGTGTCTTCGTATCGAGGACGTCTTTTGAGAGCCATAGAAACTATAGTTGAAACGACCGAAAAATTTCGTCGAACGAATGAATATCGAATAATCGGCTTTTAAAAAATATTCGAACGAACGAATATTATTCGATCTGTGATTTTCAGATTATTCGAATTCGAATATTCGAATAGTGCTACATTTCGAAATTCGAATGAACAAATATTCGAATAAATGGGGTTGGTCGAATATTCGACCATTCGAATTACCGAATAATCACATATGGTCGAATATTCGACTATTCGAATAATCGAATAATCACATATGGTCGAAAATTCGACTATTCGAATATTCGAATAATCATAACTGTCCGAATATTCGACTATTCTCGAACAATCTAGCAGCTCAAACAATGATCGTAGCTGATCATTATATGCGTAGCAAGTGGTAAGGATGACTGGGTTATTGTCGCTCGGTCAGGGCCGCCTAGGAAACAGAAGAATTCCACTCAAACATCTAGTTCAACGTGTTCATTGCCTTTGAGATGGCTACTAAGTCTTACTTAGTAACCGTTTCAAGTCTGCATTTATTCTTCCTCACCGATTCTTCCTCACAGAAGTTCCTCCCGAAGCTAAACAGACCTTTTTCCTAAAGCTACAGATTCAACCTGCAAAACCTTTTAGAATAGCTAGTTTTTCGTAATTTATTCGTGATGGTCAGCATTGGTGAGTTCTAACAAGGGAAGTACTACCGTGGCCTTTTAATATGAGATGCATATCATCTGAAGCAGCTTCGAACAGCAGCTTGGTTTTAAATCTTCTTTCCGTTTCTGCGGAACGCTCTTCTGAAGAGAGTTATGGGAGCCTGAACATTCTATTTTGGGGGCGCCGCTTGAGTTTGAGGGCGATGCTATGTGCATTGGTGGTGCAGTAATGTAGTGGTTAGTTGCTGACATTGGAGGCGAGAGGTTGATGGTTCGAATCCGGTAGAGAGCGAACAATTTTGCTTATTGAATGTGAGTTTGAAAGCACTCTAAATTGCCTGCAGACGGTTACTGCAACTCCTTTGGCATAAGTGACCTAGAAAAAGAATTTTCTGGCAAAACTGCTTGTAATGAATTCTGAAATTCTATTTGACTTCCTTACTAGTAAAACAGGACCAAACATGGCCTAGCACGTTTGTCACCACATAAAACTCAAAAAATGCTCACTGTCATTAGTCGAAAAGATGTTCTCTCCTGTTTGTGCTAAGGCATTACAGTAAGTGCCTGCAGACGATTTAGAGTGATTTTAAGCTCACATTCAAAATGCAAAATGGCTCGCTCTCTACCGGATTTGAACCATCAACCTCTCGCATTCAATGTCAGCAAGTAACCATTACACTACTGCACCACCAACGCACATAGCAGCGCCCTCAAACTCAAGGAGCGCCCCAAAATAGGATGTTCAGGCTTCCATAACTCTCTTCAGAAGAGCGTTCCGCAGGAAGGCAGATTCAAAATCAGCGTTCGAAGCTGCTTCAGATGGTATGCATCACATATCAAACAGCCACGGCCAATGAAAGTACTTCCCTCGTAAGACTAGCACTGGGAGAGCACGAGGAAGGCCTACACTAATAGAATCAGTGGACCTCTGCAGCAGAGGTGACGCACTGTTGTCTACATAATAATTTTGTGCGCATCTAAATCCAGAAAAAAAGCCCTGGAAATATTTGTATATTAGCTGCTAATTTAGTACTCTTCGGAAGTTACCAGTCGCGAGTTTTACAGTTCCTGTTGTAGGATTGAAGTACGAAGTCGTTTTAGTTGTAGTTTTAAGGTTTGTGCTTTTGTTATAAGGAATCTTCCACATCTTTTACTCGGGTTAAAATAATTATTGTTCAACCTACACGCCTATAGAAGTATTATTCCTCTGTGAACTTTGCAACATTCTAACACTAGTTTTTTACGTCTCCTGAGTATAAGGGCAGTCGATCTAGTATGGTGACTGACATACAAGCTGCCGCCACAAGTCAAGCGGCTCAGGTCCTTACGATCGTCTTGCTCAAGCCTTGCGCTGGTTAACGTATCTTTCAGGTACTTTAACATGCGGGCGTGATTAGGCTGGCAAGGCAAGCGAAGAATCTTGAAGAATCTTGGGTGAAGGGACGAACGTTGCCTATACGTGCTCCCTTAAAAGCAGTGTCCCGGCAGATTCGCGCCCTGGGTGATATCGCTGCGGTGGGGTTCCTGGCCACCCCACTAACCTCTAGGCCTAGTCCGGCCTGTTGATGTCCCCCCTGCGCCGAGAAAGTAGCCCCAAAACCGGAGCACGCAGGCCTAATCGGCGCGCGCTCGAACGACTTCGCTTACCTGCTCGGTGCGGGACCCCATTACCGCCCTCCGCATTGTGCATACTATTTCAAAGCAAAAATTACAGGCGGCAGGGTGTTCGTGCCGGCCCCCCCCCCAATTTCCGTTGAAACTCTCGTCCGAGCCGCTTTTTGGAAACTAGGGAAATTACCCGATTCTAAGCTCAGATTCGGGTTCTACGAGTCGGAAAGGCCTAAGACTTGCAGAAAGGTAGAAACGCAAAATCTGCCGGGACACTGCCTTTAAAGGAGTGCTGGTCCTTCACATGCTTAAGCAAGCTGTATGAGGATCAGTGGTCCGCTAAAGGGCGCCTAATGACGGCTTTGTTCACCCAATTTAGAGCTTGGAGGACTTTGCGCATGATATCGCATCTCAACTACTCAGACGCGATTTCCAGGAGATAGTTCACCATTTCAAATGAATTATGCATGAGACTTGTCATCACTATGCTCTAGCATGACTCGCGACTCATCCTTAAAAAGGGAACCTTGTCAACCATTCGGTCATATGATAATCAATTTGTATCAGTGACCGATTGGAGACATACTTGCAGTCAATGTAGAACAGCTGAAGTTTTTTTTGACATCGAATGTTCGAATTAATGGTCTTTAATATTCGAATATTCGAATAACTGTTTTTTAAAACTCTTCGAATAAACGAATATTCGAATAACTCATTTTTCTAAATCGTCGAATGAACGAATTATTCGAATACAGGCCTTTTCTAGTTATTCGACTATTCGAATAATCGAATAATTGGACTTTCTCAAATATTCGACTATTCGAATATTCGAATAGTCGAATATTTCGAATAAAATATTCGAACACGAATATTCGGTTCTAACTGTAATAGAAACATGCCTAGGAGTTACTTGCAAAATTTCGACACCACTTTAATAGCGATTGCAGAAAGCGTCGATCGCTACTGAAATGATATCGTTCGTGTGGATGATGACGTCAAAAGGCTACTGAGTACAAAGTAAAGGTCGACGAGCATGTGAAAGCACTTACAATTAGTGTGGAATTGATAAGACAAGTCATTATGTATGTGCCAACTAAGCGAGTACCCTCGACGTCAATCCCTAAGTTACATTTGCAAAGTGGAGTGGTGTGGTGCAGCCGCCTCGCTTTGCGCTCGCGCCACGTTGCTGGGGCATCGTTTAGACGTGATGTGGCGCACCACAACCATAGGTGCGATAGGGGGAGCCGGGATCTCCCCAGGTGAAGGGGGTCTCGGCTGTTCCCGACCTTCCGGGGTGAAGGGGGTATGTGGGTCTAGGGGGGGAGGAAGAGAGAAAAGGTAAGAAAGCGTGGTATGAAAAGCTCTAATTTGTACCTTATTTAGGCACAAATTGGAGAAAAATTTAAAAATTTTCAAAAGAAATTTAAAAATATTAAAAAAATTTATTATGAAGATCTGTGCTCCTGTTTCACTGCATCAACAAAAAAAAGCAATAAGGTTTATCCCAAAAGATGTACAAGTTAGGAACAACT